GGGGGGGGGGAGGGAGGGAGAGGATAGGCTGAGAATGGCGGGGGCTGCGTTTGTTTTGATCATTCCATTGTTTTTTATTCTATTGTAGTACTCTTCTTAATTATTTATAACGACGCGTCGCTCCCACGCTCCGCTCGCTGCTGTCCTCCGCCCGGCCACCACGGCATGGGGCCTTCCTGCGTGCCGCGGAGCCTGCCGGGAGTTGCAGTTCCCGAATACCGGGGCCCATCCACGAGTGAAGTGCATGCTGGGAATGGCTGTCTTTGCCCACGGAGCATGCCGGGGCTTGCTGGGAGCTCCCGTCCACAAGTGAGGTGCATGCTGGGAATGGCTGTCTTTGCCCGCGGAGCCTGCCGGGAGTTGCAGTTCCCGACTGCCGGGGTGGGCGGGAAACTCCCATCCACAGCAGAGGTGCATGCCCGTGGAGCATGTTGGGAAGTGTCCCCGCCCCGCGGAGCACGCTAGGAATTGTAGTCTCCGCCGCAGTGGCGGGGAGGAGAAGGCGGGGACGGGGACGGGGACGGGTCCGGGCGGGAGGAGACGCGCTGACCGGGCCGGGGTGGTCGAGCCGGCGGTTGAGCGGCCTGCACCGGTACGAGCCTGGGGGGGAGACCGGCAAAAGTGAGGCAGGAGGGGTGGGCCCTGCTTGTCTGTCTGTCAGTGTACCCCCCACCTCACCCCCAGGCCCGGCTCGGGGCCTCCGTGTGTTTGTGCCTCCGCCTGTCGCTGCAGGGTTGTAGGTGCTGGGGAGCGGGGGGTGGGTTTCAAATGATCCGTGGGGAATCTTTTTGGGGGGCTCGGAGGGAAAAATTGGGGGTAATGCAGACCCGTCGACTCCAACCGAAACCCAGCGGAGGCGAGCGCAGGAAGCTCCCCCGTTGCAGGAGACGAGGTCTGGGTGAGGTGCAAGGTCCCTCCGGGAGCACGGAGGAAGCGGCATTCACATTGGTTTAGTCCGCAAGATTTCGCGGTGAACAGAGATTTGCCTCCCAGCTCGTCTTTGCAAGGACCGGAAAGGCAGACATTGGCTGGGCAGAGATGGGAGCAGCCATTGCTTGAAACTGTAGTTGCCTTTTGTTCTCTCTGGTCTGAAAGAAAATTTAGGACCAAACTCATTTTGTGAATTAGTTAAACCCTGGGGGAAGTCAGTGGCGAGTTTTTTATGTTAGAAAGCAGATTTTTTCCCCCTCTCCCTAGTATATAAGTTACCTTTATAATGATATCTTTGTTAGAAAGGTAACCCAACATATCGATCTATAAATTGATGTGTAAAATGCCTTTAAATCCATTTATTTCCTGATGTGTAAGCTACCTTTTATACTGATATTATTGCGCCTGGGCTACACGTGCTGGTTTAATCCTATCAGTAAACTAACTGAAATAGTTCAATAGGTTTTTGTGATGTAAAAAGTTTATCCTGTGGGAGGAAGGGGGAAATGGATGTCTGGCTAAAAATCATTTTGATGAGTTACCCGAGATGGTAACAGGTCTTCAGCCATTACCTATTTGGGTAAGGTTTGAATTATAACCTCATGCTGAAAGGCTGTGTGTCCTCTTGAGAAGCTGTTGAACCTACTCTTTCTTCCCTCTAGCGTGCAGTCCATCTGACTAGCTTGTAGGGCTAAAATATATGAGTCCCACATTTTCACTGGGGAAAGTAGCTTCCCTGTTGATGTAATCCAGGGGTGGCCAACCTACGGCGCACATGCCACAAGTGGCCCAAGCAGCCTGTGTGTGGGGTATGCAAGAGATCAGGGAGGGGACAGGCAGCATATAGGGCAGGAAGCAGAAAGCAACACAGCAAATGGGGCAGGGAGCAGAGGGAAGGAGGCAGAGCAGCAAACCAGGCAAGAGAAGAGGATTGGAGCAGCAGCTGGGGAGGGTGCAGTTCTAATTTGTGGCCTGCCTGCCAGAAAGGTTGGTTCCAACTAATCTAATCCATTCCTTTATTTCTAACATTGTCAAAGGCTCCAGTGGATTATGACAATCACCGCCTTGCCCACCCTGCCCAGCGGACTGTGACTTTTCCCCAATCACGGCGGAATCCATCAAGCCCACGTGCTGCAGAGTTGTCATCTACTTGCAGAAGGAGATGTCTGGTGACACGTGTTTAACCACCATCTGTCCGGCTTCAGGAGCCAAGTCCAAAGCCTGCAGCTTCAAAGGGGGCAGCCTTGGCAACAAGTATGTGCGGCTCAATGTCGGGGGCTCCTTGTATTACACCACAGTCCAGGTGTTGACCCGGCACGACACGATGCTGAAGGCCATGTTCAGTGGCAGGATGGAAGTGCTCACTGACAAGGAAGGTAAGCAGCGCCAACAGCGGGGCTGCGTGTGTCTAAGGATGGGAGCTCAGTTAGTGGAAGAAATTTATGGAAAGACTTCTTACAGACAAGAAGGGGCATGGGACACCCAACCCTTATTGGTTTTCAATATCACCCCTCCATGCTTTGAAAAATCTCCCCTTTCATAGCTAGGATTGTGGTTTGCTCATGGCACAGCTGGTATGTGGATTGCCTGCCTTTTTGCCAGGACTAAACATATGGTATGTGGGTTGTTGCTTTTATAGTGTTGCATAGAGGCATCAATCACAGTATGCAAAGGGGGTACATAAGTGACATCGTTTTTTAAGGTTTTATTAAACTGTGACCTGCGTTGTTTGAGGAGCTGCATTTTTCTTCTCTTGGTGACGTGCTGCTTGTTGCAGGTAAAACGATCTAC